TTATCCACCGGAGCATTTTTTGGTTCAGTGGGGGTGGGGTTGGAAGGCATCATTTCTTCCTCAAAAAATGTCTCCTCACGAAGCTCAGGAAGAGCAGTGAAATTAAGAAAATTTGGTGAGACCATTTTCTGGAAATTGATAGAACTTGGTTGAACTTTGTAAATGAAAGAGCTAGAAAATGAATGAACACTAGAAAAAAGCTTAGAATCAAAATCAAAGAGACAAGTTGAGAGATAGAATGAGAAGATGAAAGTGAATTGTTGTGTGGGATTTATGGTGGAATTAAGGGGTATTTATAGGGGATTTTTGGGTTAAAATTCAGTTTTTTCCCGTTGGGCCCTTCGCGGGCCCAACGTGTGGCACGTGACGGGCCTCCCATTTGGCCCATCAGGTGCCAAACGGGAGGCACGTGACGGGCCAAACGGGAGGCCCATCACGTGCCGAACGTTGGGCCCGCGAAGGGCCCACTGGACCAAATGAAATGGGCTTTTCGTGGGTCGTTTCACGGGCTTGGGCCGGGCCGAATAAGGGCCGTGCCGCGGGCCTCCACATGCTTGGGCTGCGGGCTGAGAAGTTGAGGCCCAACCCTAGTCCATTACACGTGCCGTGCCGGCCCGGCCCGTAACAGTAACGAACCGGGCCGTGTCGAATCATGCACTATTACGGGCTGGGCTGGGCAGTCCATGGACGGCCCGGCCCATTTGACACCTCTAGGTAAAAGTCGATCCACACTAGGTTTTTGTGGTAGAAAGAGTAAATATCAGTGGGGCTCTTCGGATAGATGTCACTAGAAAGATGCTAGTGTTCACTCTCTTTATCACTTTTTCTATTCATTGTTTAAAATGTGACTTTATTATCTAATTTTTTATTTAAATAATAATATATTATGTTAATAGAATCTACATGTTAAATAATAAATGCAGAAAGTGACAAAAAAAGTGACATAAATAGTGGCGCTAATATTTTTCAAGCTGTATAAAAGACACTGCTCATAAAAACAAACGTGTCGTACTGTCAGGCTGTAGAATCAAAACACCACACATAAGGATTGAGGTTGAGTTGTTAATAACGATAAAACATCTGCTGAAAGCTGCCTGAAAAAGAAATTTCCAAAATAATCAGATCTGTAATTGACAACTCAGACAAAAAGCACTTTCAATGCCAAGCATGTATTCTCTTTTAAGACTTGGGTTGTAGAGCAATTAAGCAAATTCCTTCCTAGTGGAAAGGACCTGAAATTTTGTCTCGCCATGAAGAGCTCACATTTACCAACCGAGGACAAAGGGTACGTAGTTACAACTTAGGGTGCGTTTAGTTGTAACCAGAGAATAGTAATGATTAATGAGAATGAAAATGACAAAAATAATAAAATTTGATTCATTTATTTAGTTATAATTTTAAAAATGCTATAGAATGAAATATGAATATTTTTATGTATAAAATTACCCTTATGGTATATAATATAATAATATTATTAAAATGATTAATATAATTATAATATTATAAAACATATTATAGTGTTATATAAGAAACGATAATGTTTTATAATATAATTAAAATTAAAAATATATTATATTATACTATAATATAATATCTAATTATAATAAAATATATTATTATATTAAATAAATATATTATATAGTCATAACTTGTGTTATTAATTATTATATTGTTACTAATATAATAAACATAATTATATTAATACAATATAAAATAATTAATAAAATCATATTGTATAATAAAATAATAATATTATAATTATTAATATAATAATATTATTATTTGTTACAATATTACAACTACATTATATTATATCATATTATTGTATTGTTATATTATATTATATTATCTTATATTTTAATATTATTATATATTATATTATAAGATATAGTTACATTATAATATATAATATATTATTATAGAATATTAAATAAATATATTATAATTTATAACTATATTATAAATTATATTATATTATATCATATTATTATATTATTATTATATTTTATATTATAATATATTATATTATATTACATATTATAAGAGTGATGAAGGAATAATCATTTAATTAAAATGGATGAATGGTCATTCTTTTTGAATGACCATTATTTTTTTATAAATCCAATCAAACATCATACTTAGATCCCATTCCATTCTATTTCTTTTTTTTTTCACCCAACTAAACGCACCCTTACATGAAATCGCATGAATCTTTACATACATAAAATAGCTAAAGGAGGTTTTCTCGACTTTAGTCATGTGTCAATCTCTCATTTTTTCCTTTACGTTTTGTTTTTTATGTTTCAAATTTTGTAGTTCTTCACACTTTTTCTTTCTTTTTTACTTTTTTTTCCTTCTTTTTTTTTTTTTTTTACTTAAAGTTCCAATACAATTTATTTTTTATAATGCACAGTTTTGAAATACTTGTTTCCTGCTTTATTTCTGTCGACACAATTTCTTTCTAATGTATCCTTCATGTTTGTTTTGTATGTTTTCATTTTTACAACGGCATGTATATTGTAATTCTTTTTCTATGTGAATTTAAAATAATTTTTTCTTTTCCTCTGGTGCTCCTTTTGAATAATTTGTTACAAAAGAATTTTATATTAAAAGTGATCCTTATAATTTTTTTTTTTCTAATTGACCCACTAAAATATTTTTTTTTTCTCAAACATCTCTTTTAAACAGTTTTCCGCACAATACTTGTAACTTGGTATTTTTTTTTATAAATACCTTTTTTTTCTAATTTTCATTATTAAGGTAATTTTTAAAATAAACTCAAAAGCTCTTAATTTTGTTCATTTGAAAAGTCCAAACATATAAAATAAACATGAAATAATCACATCTTATACATGAAAGCAAATGGTCATTCAATGTATTTACTATGCACTATTTGGTTTTTTTTATAAAATAAATATGTGTTACTTACTTTTGTTTAAACTAATTTTTATAAAAGTAATTTCAAATTTGTGATGTGCACTTCGTGTTTTAAGAATTTTTTTACTTAATTGCTGATTATTGTCATTTTAGATAGAGTTCAAAATTTTCAGCAAAACTAGTTGTTCAAAGTCCTCGATGTAAAAGCATATTTTTTAAGACAATGGATTTTAATTTAGAGCTAAGTTTATTTTTCAGGAATTCCTCTTATTTATTTTTCCTTTGATTTACTGGCTTAGAGCGTCTATTTTTCTCCATTTTCATGGTTGATTCACGGAAACAAATGCGAATTGGCTTCTATGCTATCATATTCACTCTATATTTACTACAATGAACACTTTTTATTATCATTAGACCTCCAAAGGCATTATTTTCTTAGTATTGTGGGAACCACATTGACTTCTATTGCATTTATTCATTTATGTTCTTTGTTGGGTTGTAATTTAAGGCAATAAAGACATTTTGATTCCTTGTGAGTTTGAACAAAATGTAATTAGAAAAAAATGCTAGCACAACTTTTTCCGTAACTTTTTTTTTTGTCATTTTTTGTATATACTGTTTGACACGTGAATTCTATTAACATGATATATTATTTAAAAAAAATAATATATTAGAGTCCACATGTCAAACAGTAAATGCAGAAAATGATAAAAAGGGTAAAAAAAAAGTAATTCTTATTTTTAGCATTTCTCAAGGCAGTTATCAATAAACACGAGATATTGTGTGGGTTTTGTCCGTTATTCTAATGGGCAAGTGTGCTGCTAACTCAAACACAATTTTAGTGAAACCATTTGGTAAAGTTGGTAATGCTTCACATCATGAGTTTCTTAAGCAAAAAGTGCATTGACATTATTATATCATTTGCTTTACCCTGTTGCAACTTTAATGCACAGTTTCCCTTTCATGGCCACCAAGATCTGTTAACCTAATTTTTTTGATTTATTCTTTTAAAGTTATCTTAGCCTTTCCGTGCATCTTCGTTAGCTAATAATTTTTTTAGTTAGCTAATAATTTTCTTTTTACTATTATTTTTTAAATTTCCCCAGATTCCTTTTTCAGTTTTTACTACAAAAATTCTAACTTTAAACCTCACCCTTCTGCATACAATAACTTTGAAAATATTCTGACTTTTGTCTCCAATATTATTTTCCTTATTAATACAAAACACTGTTGGATAACACAGAATTCAGGGGAACAATATTTATAGAGAGAAAATTAGTAAACTCACACATTTAAATGTATTATTTTAAAATTTTTACCTTTATTTTTGATTAATTTCTTTTTTTAATGGAAAGATGCTGAATATTATTAGGTCATGTCGACAATAATTGCAGAAGCTACAATGAGGGATCATATGAACCCCTATGAGATCCTAACATTTAAGCATTCTCAGTTAGCTATAGACAATGATAAGGAGAAGATATCTTTAACAATGAAACCTTCAATAATAAGTGTAAAGGATTAAAATTTAAGACTCATACATTTTGAGAGATGTTTGTCTCTTTTTCAAGTAAAAAATATCGGTATTACTATCTATTAATATAAGATAAGTCTCACAACATAGAGCCTATAGTTAGGGGTTTACTTTCTATTATCGGCGCTCCAACTCAGTTCGTATTACAGTAGTTTTCATGAGTCAATCATGATTTAGGCTTCTACTAAAGTTAGGGAAAATAGATAAATATTTCTTTTTTTTTACTACTTATTCTTGATTAATAATTTTTTTAATTAAATAACTATATTAATAAAATAGTATTAATTAATGATGAAGGATAAAAATTCTAAATTCTGTAATTTTCTTGGTGGGGTGGGGGTTAAACCATGGAATTACCCAAACTGAGAAAGGCCTTTCAGAACAGGGAAGCAAACAAGTGTGGGAGGTCAATTGTGTGGCGAGCTTGGGGCTCACACGTGTGAAAAGTCACTCTACCGGAGAGAGAAAGAGAGATCACGCAGGAAAATAACAATAATAATAATAATAGAGTAATAAATTATCTTTTTAGTCTTTAGTCATGGTTATTTACAAGGACAGAATTAAATTAATAAATCCAAGAAAAAAAAAAGAAAAGAGAAGTAGAACTCCACCAACACAAAACAACGCCATCAAACTGACCTGTTTTTTTTCTTGTTCTTTTTTCTTGTTCTTTCCTTTATTCCTTTTTGCTGGTGAATTTATCACTGCCCATCAAAAAGTTTTTTTTTTTTTGCCTCTTCATATGTATTGGGTTTAAAAAACTTAAAGACATCTTAGAGAGAGAGAGAGAGAGAGAGAGAGAGAGAGAGAGAGCGCAAAGTGAGAGATCATCTTCATCATTTTGAATCTAATGGAGCAGCTCGTCAACTTTATCATTCGGCCTCCAAGGTAAGATGTTCTTTACAAACCCATCTCTTTCTCTATGTTTATTTATATTTAGAATTTTGGGTATGTTTGTATGACTTGAATTTATAATTTTTTTTTTATGGGTTTTGGCTTTTTGCTCCTTTTTGGCTGTTGGGTCGACGTGAATATTATGATTTGAAGGTTTTTGAGTATTGGGTAGATGAAAAAACCCAAATTTGACTGAGCCCAATTCTGTTGTTGTCCAAGTAGAATTATTGTTTCATTCATTTAGTATTTTTGGGTTCAATAGAATAGAATAAAGGGGGTCAGTTTGATGATTTCATTTGGTTAGTCTCTAGTTTCACTTGAAACAAAAGTAAAAAATCTTTTTCGCGATTGAGCTGGGATTTTTACAGCAAATTCCTTAATTTTTTTTCCCCTCGTGTAGAAAGCTGAGATCTCCTTTGTTGTTATTTTCAACCTTTTCTCTAATATAATATGTTCTGTTGTATAATATTATTGAGAGGCTGATTTGCTCAATTTGACTTGTGTTTCATCACTTTTCTGGATAAATTTGCTATTTAGGGTTAGAACCTTTGAAGTTTACTTTCATTACCCGTTTCCGAGTTTATCCATTTTTGGGCTGCAGGGCTGAATATGACCCTAAACATGATCTATTGGAAGAAGAGTTTATGCTGAGGGGAAAATGGTATAAACGAAATGATGTAGAGGTAAATTTCGTTATTTTGTGTGTAAACTTTATGTGTCATCACTTCATTGAGGTTTGTCTCATTTAACATGGTTGTTTTCTGGTTTATGTATGGGCTAGATTGTTAAAGCAATCAACTTTAACCTTCCGAATTCGATTTGCTGGGAGGGATCATAAGTATGGTATCACAGAATGGAAGATTGGTTTTTATACATAATATGCTGTATAAAGAGAAAAATATAAACACCCTTTTGATACATGCTTTATAAGTGGGAAGAATTTTATTTTTCAATCGGAGAGTCAATGAAATTTTGAAGTGATTTTCATTGTTTCATTAAAAGGGTTCTGAATATCGCGCAGATTAAGAACAGTCGGGGAGATGTCCTTCAGTGTAGTCATTACGTGCCCATTGTTGCTCCTGAAGAAAAGCCTTTGCCCTGTGTAATATACTGCCATGGAAACAGGTGACTACCTGACTCAGGTTTTGATAATTAGTTACGATTTGAAAATGTTTTAACTTTCTAATGCTCAGACCTCATATTATGCGTATAAGGAATACATTTATTCTTTGTACTATAAATAGAATTAATAGTTTTTTCTTTTTACTATACGGGTGTCAAAAGGTCTTTAAAAATAATTTGATCAGTAATATTGCTGCTTGTTGCCCATATCGCAAACCTGTGCAATGCCAGAAAGATTTCTCTTCGCAAACTGCATCATCACAAGCTGGCTTTTTCTTTGAACTTACCTTTCATTTTCAAAAAAAAAAAAAAAAAAAACTTACCTTTCAAAATTTTGACAAAGCTTTCACGATATCAATCAATAAATTTTTTTAACTTAGTTTCTTTTTTAACTTCAAATTCACTTTGTGATACCAAGTTTATGTTTGTGCTCACCTAAATGATTCTTTACCATGTCTATAATTGTCTTTACTGACTGCAGTTCCTTTGTTATCACAGTGGGTGCAGAGCTGACGCTAGTGAAGCAGCTATTATTTTGCTTCCTTCAAACATTACTGTTTTCACTCTTGATTTCTCAGGATCCGGACTCTCGGGAGGACAGCATGTCACTCTAGGGTGGAATGAAGTAAGTCCAGAAAACTATCTCAAACAAGACCATTATCTACACTCTTAAGACATGATATGATATAGTATAATTTGTATCTCTCCTAACTTTTTCAATTTGATATGATGGAGACCACCGACTGTGTTGCTTTTAACTCAAAAGCCGGTTACCTTTCGAGTTCAAAATGGGAGAGTAGAGGCAATGAGGCCAATTACGGGAAATCTCTATTTCTCTCACCCTCCTAGGCAATCATTATTGAGGGGCATGGAGGGGGGAGGATTGCCATATGTTTTTTTTTTTTTTTTTCCTTCTCTGGGAAGTTTAAAATAAGATTCGCATACTGGAAAATGTTGCCTAAGAATATTTAATGGATAGTGCTTTAGAGGTTTAGAGCCTTTTGACGAGTCTTTCCAATGTCATCCTGTATACACCATGTAGTGTTCCTTCGTGTATTTTGAATTTGAGTAGCATAAAATCATTGAGGGTCTAGCATTGGAGGGAAGAGGGAGAGCCTGTTCTGAAGAATGTCAAATTCACGTAAGGTGCTTCCCAAACCTTTTCTAGGCTTGTTAGATGCCATTATACCCAGATAAATAACTCAAAAGTTCCTCACCCATTAGGGAGGTGAAATGCATGTAGGTATTTGCTTTTCTATAATATGAAATTGCATATGATAGTCTTTAACTTTTTTTGTTTGCAGAAGGATGATCTAAGAGCTATAGTTGAATATCTGCGAGCAGATGGAAATGTCTCTTTAATAGGCTTGTGGGGCCGGTCAATGGGCGCTGTCACTAGGTTTTGTTCATTTTCTACTGTTTTTCTTTGGTCTTGCGTATATGTAGTGCAAAAAATAAAAATCTCATTTCAAAATTGCATTGATTGTTAACAACGATATTGGAGGAGTCATTTTTTATACATTTATACTAAAGTTTAATTGAATGCCTTGAGTTAGCATAACGAAGTGTACAGCCAAGACTTTTTTTGTTTTGTTTTTGGAATCAATTGGAGAGAGTGAGCAACTAGTAGCTAGGCAAACTAGCAACCCCTAGCAAACCTATCCTGTACCAAGCTCACCACTCAAATTTTTATTAAGAAATCTTCATACTTGTGGAGACTGTATTTAATTGGATATATTTACATCATCAATCCTTACCTTCATATGCATGATTGAGATCATTGATATATGACTTCTTTCTCATTTTCAAGGCAAATGTATTGTCTTCGTATGGAATATGGTTGAAATGTTTATCTTATTGAAAGTTATCCATATATGGTTGAAATGTTTATCTTATTGAAATTTATCCATATTCTGTAAATATTATTGAATATTTTTTGCTCAGAAAATATTATTGAATATTTGTATTGATTTGATGACAACCAAATTACTCTGTAACACATCCCATTTACTTTTCCCCCTCTTCCCTCTTAAGTGTAGGCCTCTTGCCAGTTTTGGGCCTTTTCTGGCACTAACAACTTTTATTATTGTTCACAGCCTTATGTATGGAGCCGAGGATCTTTCTATTGCCGGAATGGTTCTTGACAGTCCCTTTTCTGATTTGGTTGACTTGATGATGGAGCTGGTAGATACGTATAGAGTTCGCTTACCAAAGTTCACAGTAAGGGTGTTTCTGTTAAAACATCTTGTTATGCAGATTCTGTGAGAAGTTTCTTGTTAAAGCAAAAGAGCCATGTTCTAAACCAGCCATGATTGTTTTCATTCTATGATACAAACTTCTCCATGTGCTTGTTCTAGGTGAAGTATGCGATCCAATACATGCGTAGAGTTATCCAGAGAAAGGCAAAGTTTGACATAACGGATCTGAACACTATTAAGGTTTTATTCTTTCAGTGATTTTACTTTATATGTTGTGATTGAATTTCTTGTTGATTACTTCAAGATGTATGGGCAAAAAATAATTAAATAAATAAAAACTTTGCGGCTATGCTCTTCAAGTATGGAATCGGTGGTTATGGTGCTAGTACATCTGAAGCTTTATTGGGGAAATGGTATTCAAGCCACGAGGTTGAATCCCCAACTCTTACAAATGTGGGCCCCATCTGGTATGTGGGGTTGAACCTGGGGATCTCACCAATGGTTGGCCCTACATGGTGGGACCCATGTGGGCCTCAACTTGTCGTATCCACATGGATCTTACTAAGTGGGGCCCGCATGGATCCCACGAAGTGGGGCTGACCATTTGTGAGATCCCCAGGTTCTAACCCCATGGGGTTGAACAAGGATACCCTTATAATTGATAGGATTGAATTGGACATGGAGCTCACTTATATCATATTACAATTTTTTTTCCCTGTTGTTTAAACTTACAAAAGTGATCTAATTAGTTCTTAATGATGTAGGTGGCGAAAACATGCTTTGTTCCAGTTCTGTTTGGGCATGCCACTGACGATGATTTTATTCGTCCTCACCATTCAGATCGTATATATGATGCTTATGTGGTAAATGACCTTCTCTTGATTAGGAAAAAAAAAAAGAATTTACATATATGCATAGGATTATGAAAGCACTCACGTGATATCTTGTCCAATATTTATTCTTTTCCTTTAATTCATCAAACTTGAAACTAGAGCTCTCAATTCTAAGTGGCATTCTTGTGTTTAAGTTTTATACACTGGCAAACAGCATTCAATTTTGCCTTGAAGTGATATTTTGATGTTAGCAATAGATTGGTAGAATATATATATATATATATATATAGGTGCCTTGGATTTTGTTTCCGACTTTTGGCCATCTTAGTTTTGGCATTGGCTGCACTCAATTCAATGGCATGTTTGGCTTGCCATCTTATGCACTTTTTTGCAGGGAGACAAAAATATCATCAAATTTGAGGGAGATCACAACTCTCCACGGCCTCAGTTCTACTTTGATTCGATTAATATCTTTTTTCATAATGTTTTACAACCTCCTGAGGATGAGGTGGGGGAAGCCTTTTTTGACCCTTTGCATGAGTACTTCGGTAAGGTAAGTAAAACAACAGTCAATTTCTCTTTCCCATCAGACTGCGAGTTTTTGTTCTTCAACCCTTCTGGATAGTTGACCATTTTATCTTCAGGGTGCGTGGAGAACGGTTCGTCCAGTAGACCATGACCATGAACTTTCTAGTCCATCCACAGGCATGACTTAAAGAAAACTTGGCGTCTCTTCTACTAGTGCATGCTTTTGTTACAGTATCTTCATTTGGCAACTCCTCTTTGCTTAAATCCTGGTCAATTTGTTCATTATTTGCAGAACCCACATCTGGCAGTGCACAAGATGACATTAAACGACTTCGTTCAAGAAGGCCTATGAGTCGGACAGAGGTTAGTAACTGTAACTTCTTGTTTGTGCTGAATTTTAACTATTTTTCTCTCCCAGTTAAGCATCTATTCATTTTGTTTCATTTTTTGGCTTCTCTTTAGGTTCCTTCTGACATTATACCTAAAGATGATCAATCCAAAACTAAGGTATGTTTCTCGTTGAGCACCCCTGTACATGAATGTTAGAGCTCAAGCTTTGGTGTGCTGTGCATGAATGCTAGAGCTCAAGCTTTGGTGTGCTGTGCATTATTATAATAAAAATACTTCTTTGCTGGTTAACTGTGGACTAAAGATGAACAAGTTTGTTGAAAGCTAAAGTCGTAACCCCTTGAATACACTGCAGGGCGGGAAGTGGGTAGAGGGATGGGGCGCTTGGGAAAAATAAAAGTAAAAATAGTGAGCCCCAAAAGTTAAAGTGGGGGACAAAACTAAAGAGAACTTCTTTCTTGATTCTACAGGATCAAAAAGGTGACGATCTTTGCTCGTCATCATCTCAAATGATTAGCTTTGAATTCACCAATGGCAGTCAATGTGGACCTCATCTTCCTACCACAATGGATGATGATCAATATGTCGAATACGAACTTGATGACTTGTCAGGGTTTCCAAGCGATGTGGATGAGGAAAAAAGGGTAAGTTCTGTTGGTCTAAAATATGTTTTCACATTGATCATGTGATGTGCTTGTTGGGTTTTGAATTAACCTTCCGACTTCCCTTCAAAATTCTTTAGATGTTCATGGAAGCGGTTCTGTTGTCGTTGAAGGACCTGAATACGAGACATCCACAACCACTGGCAGAAGAACAGCCAGCAAGCACAGGCCCTGATTCCTCGAAATCTACACAGAAAGATGATAATTCAGAAGCTGCTTTGTCCACTAAGCCCCTTGAGCATTTAAAGACAGAAGCTACTTCAACTTCAGTACATCAAAGTGGTTTGTTAAAAGAAGAATCTACTTCCGCTTCGGTTACCAAAACCCATGTTTCCGAACACAAGCATCAAACTCATGACGCAAGAGATCCATCGACGGAACCTGCGTTGGACGTCTCCATGTCTGCGAAGGGCTCAGGAAGCTCTGGGCCTTCTCACAATGCTACTTCATCAAGCACCCAAAGCACATCAGAAGCCGATCTCTCAGCAAATACTAAAGCCACATTGACAGTGGAAAGAAACCCAACTAGCAATATCATGGATGGTTTGATTCGCCGTTGGGATTTCAGCTTCTTTCGAAACAATCAAAGTAAATAGATGATTTTTTTTTGTTTTTCCTGCTTGGTTCCTCTTCTAGCAAACGATATGATGCATTTGTTTTGTAACTAAGAAATCTTTTCATGAACAGTAGATTGTAGAATGATTGACCCAATTGGGGAAAGGGTAAAGAAAAGGTATTGTGAATGCGTGTAAACATATTTAGTTGATCTTGTTAATCCGATTTCATTACTTAAATCTTTCATCGTGTTTTCCAATCTAAAATAGCTTTTTGCAGCAAAATAATTTGACTCTTTTGGGGGTCTCTAGAATGAGAATCTCACTTCAGTTGTGGATGGCTTAAGAATCAAAGGCACTTGATCAAAACTTGACTTGGGTTCGGATGGTTTTGACTCTTTGAATCACAGATGAAAAAAAAAAAAAAAAACCATCATATACTCCAATCCAATGGAATAGCAATAAAACGAAGTATCTCTTAATCTTCCGTGGGAAATTTTTCTGTTTTTTTTGGGGCTTGAAAGTGTTTGGTGGGTTGGCTCTTGTTGTCAATTCTACTTGAGAAATTCATTATCTAAAAATCTTGAATGCAAAGTTTGGTCTGAAAAAGAAAAGAGAGAAAAAAAATGCCAAGATGGTACTGAGATAAAAGGCAACAGAATTCTTTTATAATTTTTATAAATAATAAATTGAATATGTTAATTCAAACATGAATATAACTTAGCTTACACTTGCATCATTATTACTTGGAAAAAAAATATTAATAAACAATGAATCTCCAAAAACTTGCAAGAAAGCAGTATTTACAAATCATTGCATCATTTTGGTGGTAGATTTTCACCCATCCATTAGTAGGTTCAATGCAGTTTCAACAAGTGAGTGAATTGTTATGCTGTGACGGCTCATTCCAACAGTGCCAGAGAACATATTGAAGCTCTCAAGCTCTGCTGTTGTCTCCAGTACACCCTCAAGCTCCTTTTCCATCCCTAAATCCCGAAAGAGAAGAACATTTGATGCTTTGTCTCTCATCATCCAAATGGCCAACTCTATGGCAAACCTCCTGATTCTCGGAATTTTGATGTGGGGTTGTTTGTACTTCCTCAGAATTTGAACCAAAGCATTAGCCAGTTCAGCCTCGGTTATTCCGGCTCTCTCGAACATGAGGCTTGATTCTTGAGGATCCATGAATTTGAATACATGTGCTGCTAGCCCGACCATTACTTCCTGCAGTTTGTTCTCTCCTGACATGATTGCCCGAAGCAACTGACATTATCATAAAAAAAAAGTGTAAGTAATTGTTCTGAAAGGTGCTTCTATAATAGGGCGTATTTGTCGATAGTGCACATTTCTTTCTAAATTTAAGTATCATATGAAAATGAAAAAGTACGGTGGCAATTTAGAAATGTGCAATACTAATAACTGTTTTTTGTTTTCTCTTGGTAGAGCAATGTCTTTATCACCGTTAGTGATCTGCTATATTTTTTCAACTAATCACAAATTCACATGTCAATTCTGAGACCCGCCACACATATTATGACATAGGAACTCATGGAGTCTTATATGTCAAATGTCAAATTATTTAAAAACCAGTGACAATGATCATTATCAGTGATAGTTGTCGTTTTTTGTTTTTGTATCCCACGGCAGAATTTCTGAGTTTGATTGAATGAAAGGAATGAAATATATGTTTCTTGAATGGTAAGGAAACACTTACTGTAGGTGCTGCAGCTGTGACCCCCTTGAGCTGCTTGAAGCTGTCTGTACTGATGTAAGTGCACAAGTTTCTAAGAATCCTAGCAGCATTCACACACAGCAATGGAACCTCCAAAGCCCCGACAAGCTTGTCTAGCACATCCAATCTCAACATCCTATGACAATTGCTCTTGCTATCCAATGCCAGCATGGCTAGAGCTTCTCCGGCCGCGGTTCTTACTTGGTTGTGACTCTGTGGCAAACCTTCCTTGAAGAAGATATTGAACAACCCCATAAGCACCCTGCCTGTACCGCCAATCCTTTCGGTTGCATCCTCCTCCAATGCCAGACTGGTTAAGATTTCTATGCCTAGTTGTTGCAGCACTGGAAGTTTCTCCCCATGCCTTAGAATGTCTCTGATGTTGCTGATTGTGAAAATTATCTCTGAAATCTCTCTTCGAAGTTGCTTCCCCGTGGCGCCTGTTGTGCTCACCAGCCTCTTCACTACTTGCAAGGAACGTTTCACGGTCAGAATCTGCGATGTCGCGGCATTTTGATCCTTCAGCAGCCTCTCTTCGGCATGAGTAAAGTCTATGATTTTCGGCAACAGACCCCTTGTGTTTCCAATCTTTCCACAGATATCATGGTCACGGGCAAGCTTCTTCAGAATGAGGAGTCCTAAATGATTGAATTTCCAGAACTCATAGCTAGGATGGTCAAAAACCACTTTCCTCTCGCAAATTTCATCGGCTGCACCAGCCGAGTTTCTGTTGGTTTGTAGAAGAGAGGATATTGATTCCATCGCGCCAGGTATTCCAGCCACACGGAGCGAGTTCTGCTTCTTTCCGGCCAGCTTTGACAATATCACTGCAGCATATCCTCTGGTCTCCTCTTCTTGTGGATCTGTCCAATTCAACATCTCAACTAGCTTTTCAATCACAGGAAGGTCCAGTCCAATCTTCTGCAGGGTGTCGTCGGAGTAACGTGCACTAAATGAGAAATGGCAAAGAATTCCCGCCCCAATGAGCTGCTCATCAGGAGAACTAGAGGCCAAAAGATCCATGGCAAAAGTAACCATGTCCATTTTGAGGCCATCAAATATACTCCCATTTACGCATCTTGAATAAGCATCATAGAAGAACCTTCTAATAGAAACCAAACCCGAAGGCCCCAATTCAGACTCTTTGTTCACCTCATCCAACAATTTGCAATATGAGACTTTCCACTCCCAATAAGCTTTCTCCGTCAGAAACAAAAGAGCTTCAGCCAAGGCCAAGGAATAGAAGATAATCAAAGCAGATTTCCTATTTCTCTTATCGGTATCGCCTTTTTCCACCTCTCCATAGTCTCTTCTGATAAGCTTCATTGCTGAGAGGACAACACATGCTGTTGCTGATAAAAGCTGGAGCCAATAGAGAAGCCTACTAACGTGCCTCGTGACAAAAACCCACTTGGCATACGGCAATAAAGGAACCTCTGAACTTGTCCATCTCCGAATTGGTTTCCTCTGGTAATCCCAGTTTGCTGCGGTGTTCACATCGCCGGTTTCTCTTATCTCCCTACTCCGTTGGCTGCGCTTGAAAATAGGACTAAAAGCCGCCCTGATGCTACTGAGCAGGAAGCTAGAGCTCGACCTCAAGGCACGAAAGCTGCTGATTCCAACGTCGGCAATGGACCATGTCGCTTGGTGTTGCCACTCAAGCTCGTGGCTGCGGCTGAAAATCCTAGTCCCTTCTATCAAAAGTATGATGGTGATGAACCAAAAGTCAGTATTGTCCAAAGTAATGGCAAAACCTCCCAAAAGAACAACCGTTGCCCAGATGAAACCAAGAGTTCCTAGGCCAGTCGCCGCCTTTTCGAGCACTGCAAGGCGAAGCGCAAAGAGGGTCAGCTTCTTTTCTGGTGCTGAGCTTGGATTGATAGAGTTTTCATTGCTGGTGCTGTCTCCCTTTTCTATGCTGCTTTGTGGCTCAAACATTGTTGTGTTTGGACTTAAGGTGTCGCTAAGCCTGTATTGGAGGCCTGAAATCTTCAGGTGAATGCTTCCTCCTTCCATTTTTTTTTCTCTCTCTTTTTCTCGCTATCCAATCAACTGTCTTTGTGGGGTTCTTGATTCTGTTCTTGACTTTGAAATGGTGGGACTTTGGTGTAGAGTTTTGGGTTGTGAAAGTTTGTTTGAGCGTTGCAAAAGAGAGAGATTTGGAATTGGTCTTATATAAACATAGAGATAAAACGCCAACTTGGAGAACACGTTTCTTTTGTGAGATTGTTTAGGAAAGAGGTACGTTTTTGTTGCTTCACTTTCTGTCATCTTTCTTGTAAGTTAAGTCTTTTATTCTTTTATTCTTTTTATTTTTTATTTTTTCTTTTTGGCACACTTTGGAAAAAAAAAAAACCATGGCTTTCCCCCTCTCTCTTCGGGAAGGATTGTTCTGCCCGTAAGTGAATTATGTAACAAAACACTTATATTTTATGAATAATGACATTAAAAAGATGCAACAATAAAGGATTTATTTATATTAGTCACAGTAATGTTACACTTTTCTAACATATAGATTAAATGTCATGTTATGTCTTTCATTTCTACATATTACAACGTAAAATGATGCTTTATGAAGTACTGAGAAACACCTTTAAAGTCTATTGCTTCTCACATTTCTTGTAAACTCAAACTTATGGCATAAAAGCCTACTTTTCCCAAAAAGTTCAATCCAACTTACTCTTCTTTTTTTACGGTTCGGTTTCATTTTTCTTAACTTTATCTTAAAGACATGAACAAAAGCCAATGAGAAAATGGCTAAGCTCACCTGCCTAAATCCGGTTGGAAAATTCCTTAATTCTCTTTTAATTTCATTTTTGTTATTATGTGAATATTACATTCTTTCTCTCCAAGCACCATGAAGTACTATTCCTTTGGAAACATTTGACTTTGAGATGTGATTATCAATCTCCTTATCCACTCTAATGAACCAACTAAGCATTTTCGTTAGACAAATGTTTTAATGATTTATCTTAATCAACATGGCTACTTGTCCATATTAATTATTAATTAAGGAATAAGGCCTCTTAGTCGTCTCCTAATCCAACTTATCTTGCGTGACTAAATAATCACGTTTACCAGCATTATTTTTGTCGCATATTATAAGGTTTCTTGAGGAAAAAAATACATACATACATACATATATATATGTATATTTCTCTTGACATCTTTCAGTTTGAGATTCTTGGTTGTATTGCTCTTAACTGCTTCCTTATCTATATTAAAAGAAATGTTTTAAGTGTGTCATTTTTGGCTAATTAGTTTGGTTGAGGCTTGCAGAAATGGGTGACAGGAAGTGTTTAATTGTGTTAAGTTAAAGGCTCAAGTGGGCCCCAACTCCTTGAGTACACGAATATCTTTCTGATGGAAACAAAACGAATCTTTGTGAAGGAATTACAGTTGTAAAACATAGGATAAACCTTCGTTGACAAAATTTAACTCTATTATAATCTTAGGGCTCATTGATGTTAACCATACAGATTTTAAATCGGCTAATACTTATAAAGTATGTACAACAATACTACTTAAGAACGCCTCTCATAATATTTAACTCTATTATAATATGGACCGTATTATTTAAATTTTAAGATTACTTGACATGAAGAACTAACTCTCTTATGATATAGAATTCACCATTTCGATTAACATATTCCACTGAAAAGAAATTCTATTTAGACTTTTGTAGTCGTTGCCTAGGCTTGAGCTTGGAGTGTACGGATATATACACATGGAACTAAGTACGTCATATCAAGACATGATTATTTCTATACCACTTATTACTCTTTCCTTATTTACAGTTATTTATAATCAATGTATTATATTCTCATTATTAGCTGCACATTCCTTTTTTATTAGCCGTACACGGTAGACTCTTGTTCATCAAGTTGCGTTTGATATGACGGCTCAAATCAATGTGGTTTTGATTTTAGAATAAAAATCATGATTTATAGTTTAAACTTGTGATTCAAATTATGGTTTTAAAATTAAAACTAGAATTAGAGATTTAAACCATCTAAAATCAAGAGAAAGTTGTTTTATTTTTTAAGGTGGATTTAATTTAAAACATCACATTAGAATTCAAACTTTGAACAAAAACTATTCAAACTAAATACTAACTTTCAAGAACTATATTTTACTTTTTATAAACAAACCAAAGTTAAAATCCTCTCGTACCAAACAACCTAAGTTTCAGTTATCTCCGAATCCAACAATCACCGCAAAGCTAGTCTCTTCCGACGAGTTTCATCTACCGCCTAATCATCGCGATTTGTCCTCCAACACGACCCAAAGAGGAACGCCACTGCATCAAATCCAACTACCATTGACAACGCCGTCATCGTGAGAATCTCATCTCAACAGTAAACATGGTTTTGCAGTTACTTTCATTTATTTCACTTATACTTGTGGTTTTCTTTTATTTAAGGTGTTGTCGTTTATTTCATTTGTTTAATGCGTTTAGAGTAAGGATTCGTGCTATGGTTCAGATTATGATTCGTGACTCATTACAGTGTTTTCTTTCACAAAAATACACATAAATCAAAAATAATTTTAAATAATGATTCTGAATCTATAAACCAACCATTTTATCTTGAAGTCATACATATTTATAAAATAAAAAAAAACAAAAACAAAAATATAAAAAAAAGGAAACAAAGAAAAAAGGAAACGAAAAAAAAGAAAAAAGAGGAGAGATGAAATCGTCCACTATTTCTTTGCAGCCAAAGCCTTACAGAGGCTATTGCCAGGTTTGTGGAAAGCAAGGCCACACAGCCAAAGAGTGCACTATCTTTCACTTTGTACCATCCGTGCCGCCCAAACAACCGTCAGCCTATGCTCCGAGTGCTCATCTGGTGGTTTGTCACACATCTCTAGGTACCTCTGCTAATACTCCATGGCTCTTGGACAGCGGCGCCTCCCATCATGTCATACCAGACCTGAGCAATCTGTCACCTCATTCTCCTTATAATGTCAATGATATAATCATGATTGGTGATGACACGGGTGTACCAATAACCCATACCGGTTCTACTTCCCATCATTCATTCTCTCGTACTTTTAACTTGAATAATGTTCTTTGTGTTCTATCAATGAAAAAGAATTTAATTTTAGTATCTCAATTTTACCACAACAATAATGTATCTATTGAATTCTTACCTAACTCTTTTGTTGTGAAGGATCTTCGCACGGGGGCATGCCTTCTACAAGGACGGACAAAGGACGGTGTTTATGAGCGGCCGGTAACTTCCTCATCTAGTGCACCTTTTCTAGCTTTCTCTAGTGTTAAAACCTCTCATTCTGAATGGCATCATTGTTTAGGACACCCGTCTCTTAGGATTCTCAACACATTGTGTCCAAGAACAATCTTCCCTTGTCCTCGCCCAACTCGTCAAATTTTCTCCGCAATGCATGTCAATATCATAAAAGTCACAAACTCCCGTTTCCATTTCCACTATCAAATTCATGTCTCTTCTTCAGATTATCTATTCTTACGTGTGGACCTCTCCTGTTTTATCTCATGACGGTTTCAAATACTATGTTCTCTTTGTCAATCACTTTAATAAATACATATGGTTATATCCTTTGAAATACAAATCGGATGTCCATGAAGTATTCATTCAGTTGAAAACAATCGTTGAGAAATATTTTGATCGTCGTATTATCTCCCTTTACACTGACAATGGCGACAAATATCAATCACTTGATAACTACCTTGCTTCACAAGGAAGTTCTCATCTTACTATTCTACCTCGTACTCCAGAACACAATGGTTACTCTTAACGTCGTCATTGACATATATTTGAAACCGGGTTTGCTCTCCTCAATCATGCTTCTCTTCCCCTCTCTTACTGGTCACATGCCTTTTGCACAGCAGTGTATCTCATTAATAGACTCCCCACATGTTGCCTAAAATTGTGAATCTAGAATCTCGCAAGTGCACGAGTCAACAAGTAGTAAAATGATGAATAACCAAGTATCGTCCCACAGGGATTGAGTGTTTTTGAAATCAAATTGCTAAGTTAATTCTATTCAAGTTTTTAAGAAGAAAACTAAAGTTGATTTTAAGATGTTAAAAACTAATAATAATCTGACTGTAAGAAAATGAACAACAAAGATAAAACTAATTAATAACAAAATGTGCAAATAAAATTGGCCAAAGTCACTGTGCGTGGCTCACAATTGCTAAACTGTCTCCTAACAATGCTGCGCGATGCTGCAGCAACAGACAGCAACGAAGACTTCTTGTTAACCAGATTTACTAAACCAGGGATTTTCCAATCCTCTGTCTACTGATCTTAAAGCTAAAACCCACAAATCCCTTTGCAAATCTAGATTCTAAAATTAGAGAATGAAGCTCTAAATCATATGGTTATGCATGACACAATATATTCCTATATCATGTGAATCAAAAATCTAAAACAAGATCTAAGAACTTGCACTATTCAAGCTGTGTCCACTCAACTAAATCTTCCCAGATCTAATCAAAGCTATACTCCCCTTTTATGATTTCCCAATCACAGTTAAGGCACAAATTCAGCTCACTTGAATAAACAAAGAAATAATCATCAGATCCATCAACATCAACTAACATTTCAATATTAAACAACTCAACAATCTCAGCCAGCAAATCATAATCTTATAGAGTTATATATGGATTCGAGTTCAGATTTATAGAGAAACGTAAATGTTCTTCAACAAGGTAAAACAAAGTATTGAGAGTAAGAAAAACTAAGGTGATGAGGAGAGAATTTGAATCCCCCTTTTCCAAGGTTTCTTCTAGCTCTTCCTGCATCAACAATGGACCTTCCTCTACGTTCAACACCCTGTGACATTTTCTTCTTCTTCTTTCCAGTACTGGAGCTAGTACTTGATCAGAGAAATGGAGGTGGTTTCCTTTTCCAAGTTCAGCCGCCTCAACGTTACAAAATATGACCAAGGACACCTTCTTTCTTCTCAGCTGCAGGTACTTATTGTACCCTAATTCCACATGGCAGCACATGAGAAAGCCTCCAATGAGTGGCTTAATCAGCACCTTTCACGGACAAAATCAGCCCATTAACCAGCTCAGGTCCAGCTGTCAGCAAAACACACGTCTGGCCCAGCTCGCCTTGCTGCAGCAATGCACAACAATG